GTTCCCCGGATCATCTGACCTCACTTCCAAGTATGAAAAAATTGAATTTAAACTTACAATTTTAGAGGATAGTATTCAGCTGATGTAAGGTGATACAGAGAGGGGTGGGAGATAGTGTAACAGACATGGTCAAAATTAGAGAGGTAATGGAGAGATAGTAAAGCTTTTAAATTTATTTTTATTACAATACTTAATAGAGAGGAAGGGGGGTAAGGATCAGATATTTACCTATTTAATAGGTCAACTCACTATATATATATAATTTAGACATATTATATCTCTTTATTTTTATTTTAATCCTCTCAAATTCACAAATCAATTTCTTAGAGCTGGTTAAAAAAAAAAAAAACTGAGTAAGAAATTCACTGTAATTTTCTTTATTTATTTTATTTTCCCAAGTACTTTCAGTCTGATTCATGATCATCATCAGGGGTAAATTGCAATGACAAGAATTAATGTAATTGATAGTTGTGAATTTTTTTTGTAAATGCGCATGAAACGTGCTCTGTTAGAGTCAGTTTACGTGAAGAATATGTAAAGGAGGTAACTTAGTTTAAATTTTTTGTAATTGATATATTTTTTAAAATACTCAACCTGAAATTTAAAAAAAAATATTTTTAAAATATTTAAAAGAACATTCCTGTTCACATTCACATTTTAGAGAAATATTAATTGACAATAGAAGTATACGCCATGAGAATAAAGAACAAAACCTTCAAATTCTTGAATGCTTTATATAAAAAAATGAAATCTTGAATGCTTTATATAAAAAAATGAAATTAACACTAAATAAATTTAATTATGAGTATAGCACCAATGTCTTAAAATGTCTATAAAAGCAATGTTTTTTATGCTGTCTAAATATATATATTCATTACTTATATATATAATTTCTGTTTTTGGAACAGTTTTTTTACATTTAAACATGGCCACGCATATATATATATATATATATATATATATATATATATAAGATGTATCAAAAATAATTTACAAACTTTTTTAGTTCCCCACACTGAAACAAGGACAAAAGTCCATATAAACACATGTACACAAATCCTTCATTTTTGAGTTAAGTTTAAAGAAAGTTTATGTTAGATGGCACTGTGTTGCCATATAGACTAGGTTACATTTGTCAGTCATGTACATTTGTGATTAGTCTGTCTTCATCGTTTAATATGCATAGTAGTGAGCTAACTGAGAATTGTTCCATTTAAAAATGGCAGGATGTTCATCTTGTGAGCAGATATGATTTTTACATATGGCCACATGAATGGTAATGGACGTGAGGCTGTATGGCTGTATCAGAATGTGTTTCCAGACTGATTCATCCAGCATTTGCTGCTGTTTATTGTTATATTTCTGAGATGGAATCCATAGCATCACGAACTATAGATTGAAGAAGACTGAGATTCACTTGTATGCCTGACCATAAAGAACATATTTTACAGGCTGTCAAAGACGATCCAGGTATTAACACACATCAACTGGTCCTAGCATGTTGCATATCTCATAGTACCACATGGAGGGTATTTCAAGAGCAACTCCTGTATCGATATCATTTGCAATGTGTGGAGCGTCTTTTGCCTTCTGATAACTCATCACAGGAGAACTTTTGCTGATGGTTTATTGCACAAACTGCCGATCTATTGTTTGTCTCTTCAGTCTTGTTTATTGTTGAGGTAACATTTTGAAGAGATGGAATAACAAATTTACACAAGCAACATTGGGACTTTTGATCATATATTTATAAGGAGATTTTTACCTTGTTTTGGTGTCAGGAACTGGCCCCCAAAGTTCGTAAAAGTATTTTTGATACACCATACATATATATATATATATATATATATATATATATATATACTCTTAAGGTGTGCTATATTTATGGGATAAAGTGTTCCATATCAGAGATAGAGCATGTGTAAATATAAAAGCAATCATCAGGCCTGACGATTGCATCTAGCATGAAACACCCTGTTGCCTCTAAGTGTTGACTTCAATGTTCACTTATATATATATATATATATATATATATATATATATATATATATAACATTCAGTTACATATAGTTAAATCCACAATTTATTTCTGCTCAATAGCCTCTAGATTCCTTTGTAAATATAACCATTAGGATAATACAATAGACCTTCTACCCATAATGCACCATTGATTAGCTTATATAAATAGTTGAGCCAAAACACAACACACATGGCCTGAAGATTGCATTTAAGAATGAAACAGGTTGTTGTTGTTGCTGGGTGTTGACCTCAGTGGACACTTATATATATATATTTAGGCACGGCCAAAGATTCCCTAAAAAATGAGCTAACCATGATGAACAAAAAATGCCAAAATTTAATAAACAAAAGTTTTATTATCAAAATCTTTGTTACTATTAAGTGGATAATCCAAATAATTTTTAGATTATTAAACTATATTTTTTACCCTTTTTAGAATGCTGAAAATTTTGGTTAAAAATCATGTGTTTCTCATGTGCAAAGGTGACCATAAATTGATATAGGAAATTTTAGCATCTTTTTGCAGTGGAAAAACGCATTGATTTGGAAAATTCTTGCAAAAATCAAATAATGAACTCTCCCATCATTTTTGACATATGAGAGTCATGTATCCCAGTTCTTAGAACCAACAACCAGACTACCCTCACATATCATTTGATTATAATGGTGAAGCCTTCTAACAGTTTCGCCTCGACCTCCAGCATCTTACTCTGAGTTGAGGTGTCTACTCGGTCCTAACCAAACTTAAGGGAGTGGCCATAGGTCCCCTGAGCATCCGTAGGTTATTCAAAGGGTCCGCTGGTTTAATCCTGCTTCCTGCCCACATTGTAATTTGTTTGATCCAGAAAGCAGAAGTGATGTCCGTCCATTCACAGTCGACTGAAGATGTAGACACGGCTGGGGAGTCTGCGCTAAGAAATTTAGAATGCAGCAAAAAAGAAAATTAATTTCTGCAGAAAGCCAGACAAACATTGATTCAATGGTTGAATTGGTAATGTCTTTTATATATCAGAAAAGAATAGTAGAGAAGAGAAACGGGTTACAGAAAAGACACTGAACTTTAGACAGAGAGAGAGAGTGTATGTGATTATCTTGTTGTTAAATCATCTCAGAATGATATATCTCTTGAGATAGAGGGATAAAGATTTCTGTGCGGGGCTTAAAGTTATAGTGGTGTTCCTCCTCCCAACACTCACCCGTCTCCTTTTTCAGCATAACTACACATTTATATAGATAAACCCGGCTGGTTATAACTGACCCTCAGCCCTACTACTTCACACGCAATTATCACGGGGTTCTGGCTGCTTCAACCAAAATCATGTGAATTCCAAAGTTCCTTCTAGCTTACTCAGCTCTATTTCAATTTTTAATTGATAAAAATTATTTCGACCATTTCCATTGTCTTTTGATGACCTAGATTCAATGGGTACAACTTCTGCCCTAGATAAGATTTCCTCATCAGTAAACAAAATGCTCTGATTTAATTTTTCTATTCAAATCTACTCCATTTTCTTTAAAAAAAAAATACGTGTGTGTATGCGTGTTTTCCAGACTCTCTCACTGTCACAGCCTTGTGCAGAAACAATCACTTTTTTGGAAAAGCCAAATACTGAGAAATAGTGCACAGTATACCACAAGGTCCCCAAATGACACTCCACATTTTTTGAATTCAAAGTTGCCCTTCTCCTAGACTGTTCACCATCCAAGGCTATAGGGCCCAGTCTATCCTTCTATTTACCCATAGCTGGGTGTGGGGAAAAGATGGATTCATGCCTTTCCCAAAGGTATTCGCACATAAGTGAATGTAATGAGCTCAACTGGAATTTGAAGTTGGTTCTCCAATTCCTCAATCTGAAACACTATCCATTATTCTACCATGCCTTTACCAGAATTTTCTGATGAAGTTTTAATAAAGGCCAAACATGTTAGATTTATAATTATCACCTATTTATTCTTTATCCTATCATTCTATTGAATTCTTATCCATATTTGATCTGTATTTGATTCCTCTGTGTGTATGTGTGTGCATATATATATATATATATATATATATATATATATATATATACACACACACACACACATACAACACATACACACCCTATAGGTCAAAAGTTTCAGGTCACACTCTGGTTTTCTAGAAATCACTTAAAAAGTTGTGTGCCTTTTACAAAATCTAATTTACTTGTTCACTTTGCCAGAAAGACTTTTTCTTCATGAACTCTTTTATCATATATTCATAATAATGATGATAACAAAATTACTGCATAAAATTTCCTTCAAATTTTAACTGTTCTTGCCTAATCAACCTTGTTGGTTAATAGTAATTTTAAGGCTGACAGATTTAAAATTTTAGGTGACCCCCCCCCTCTCTAAAAAATCAGTCACCATGCACTAATGGGTTAAATAGTTTCAGCGTCTGAGCTTAGTCAGAATTAATTAATCCAAAGAAGGCCTGAAACAAACTAATTATTAAATTCAAAGAGCTGCCTCAACCTTTGACATATAATGAAAATAGGTACACAACAGACAAAGAATGTCAGTTAAATAATTTGGTGAGTTTTCCCTGGAGTCAAATAAGTAATATAATGTTGGGCAAAAACTTCTAAAAGGACTTGCTAAAATTGTGTGTAATGTGCCAAGTACTTTTGACCGCCATTTTCAAGGTAAGAAAGTAAAAGATAACTTCTTTCATTCAAAATAACCAGTTACCTTAATTAAGAAATACACATCCCTTGTTGAGATCTCTTGAATTCCATATTCTAGCTGCATGTGCACTTGAGAGTGTTAATAATGAAAATGCACCTTCTGGCACCTGCATGGTTTCTGCTACCAACCTGTACAATCGAGAATTTTAATATGAAAAAACAGCTTCCCAACAGGATATGCCTAAGTTTTTTTTTAAATCTGATTGGTCTTGTTGTTTTCCAGCAGATACATTCTTTGGTCTTCTGTACCGATGAAAAATATGAAATGAGACTATGTCATTAATCAATGATTTTTTTTCAGGGACTTATTTCTCTATCTTTGTCTCCTTCAATTTCCTTCCTGGGCAACAAAGATTTTCCTACTATAGTAAGTGTGGGTCATTTCAGCAAAATGGAGTACACGGATTACATGCCTCTTCTCAGAATTGTTCATATGAGAAACATATGTTTATATGAGACACCTGAGAAGTATTACCAGGATATATATATCTGAGATGGAATGTTGTGCTCGACAATTTTTATCTCCAAAAGCTATCCACAGATGTAGTTTATTGAAGAAGAGGCTTTCTCTGTTTACACTGCTCTTTCTATAATGTCATCAATCTTGACCCGGTCTGGTTCTCCTATATTTAGAGATTCCTGATAAAATCCATAGAATAATCCACACTGTTAATGGTCCTGACCTGGTATTTTGGCTTCAGTCACTTTCCCACTGATATATCATAGCTTCCCTGTGACTTTTCTATAAATATTTTCATGGTAATTCTTCTGATGAACCTCTCTCTTTGACTTTACAAAGTTAAGCATAGTGCTCAATTGGCAGTTTGATCTCATCATTTTAGAATTTAAATTGCTAGATGTAACCTCAAGTTATATGCTAACAGTTTTTTTTTTCTCTTTTATGGTAGTTGTTCCAACTAGCTTTCATCTTTGGTACCTCCATTTTATTAAGTGTTAACAGTTTTTCTTGCACTTCTCACTTGTGGAACTCTTTTCTAACCAGTTTGCTTTCAAATTCTCTCAGACTCAGTAACCCCTTCTGTCATAGTGGCTTTATTGCCTTGCTTGGAGTGAAATGTTTAAAAAAAAACATAATCATATATTCGTGTCTACTTTTGCTGGAGACATAGGATTTGCTGTACAGAATATTTTTGGGTTTCCAAGAAATGGAAATTCTTCTGATTCAATAAACAAAATGTTGATAATGAATAGAATAATTGAATGCTGGAAATTTTTTAAAATGCACTTCTTGCATTTTCATCTTGATATTTTCTTTTTTCGCCAATGGATCTGAGTGCCATAGGAAATTATATGCATAATGACATAAAATGGCAGCCTCAAGTCTGGCTCAACCCAAACATAATAGGTGACTTTTGCTAATTTTCTACAATGGCAGACTGGCTTAATACACAAGGGCAAGAGCAACATTTCTGAATATATAAAAAATAAAGTAAATTTAAATTTATTTTGTTATTTCACATTGTCATCTAAATTTTCCTTAAATACACACACACATATATATAGATAATATTAGTGGCCAATATATTGCCTAATATAAGTCAGTGTCTGCAGGCTGTTAATTTAGATGGGGGGATGCTTCAGAGACTGATCAGCTCTGATGTGATCAACTTGGTGAGACCCGAAACTGAATGCCCAATGACCCAGTTCAGAACATCACTGACTAGTGCTAAAGAGCGTATATTCAAAGTATATATATATATATATTCCCAAGAGGATAGAATCCAGGTAGAAGTCAATGTCCAGGACAGAGTAAGAATATAATATAAAAGGCTCAAACACTAATATTCCTTGGTTTGTGGTCTGATGAATTGGATTGTGATTACAATTCCAATGTAATAAATTATAACCATGGAATATTAGTGTTCAAGCCTCTTATATATATATATATATATATATATATATATATATATCATTTCACACAAAGTAAGGTATCAATGCCACTAAGTGGCAAGGGCTTATTTAGAATGAAAGGAAATATGAAAATACTAGTAAGAAGAAAGGACAAGTTTCAGGAAAACAAAAGATGGTGAAAGATGTTGCATTTAAATTTTTGAAGGCCATATTTAACAGGGAAGAAAAGAAAGCAGAAGAGAGTTTCACAGGCAAGAAAAGAAATCCTGACAATAGAACCTATGGTTACATCTATTTGGTTGGTTGGTTTTGGTTAGCAGCAGATCAACCTCTATGGGTAAATGGTATGTTTTTTTAGATATATAGTTTGTTGATCATAAAATGTATTGCTGGTAATTTTACTATAAAAATGTATTGTTGATCATTTTGCTATAAAAATGTACTGATGATTTTTGTTTAGGTTTTTACTATTTGCCCATAGCGGTAATCCCTAATAGGTGCTACCTCTCCGAGTCAGGGTGTACCTGGAAACAGTAGCAGTTAAGACATTCTTCCACACTTCTCAAAATCTCCAATCTCCTGATCAGAGGCTTTACTGTCGGATGAAATTTGTCATCATATTGAAGACGAATCTAGCTCTTTCAACAGTAAAATAAGAAAAACTGTCAGTTTAGTACTATGCTTAAATTCATGCAGTTGCACTACCAAGGAGGAAAGCATGTTAGAATAATTGTCATGAAAATATTTATAGAAATGGCACAGGGAAGCCATGTCACACTCAAGTCAAGATGTCAAGCCAGTACTGATAACATTATCGTTGCATAAGCAAAGAAAGCCTCTGCCTGCATAAACCATTCCCATGCCAGTGCTCTCTGCCCAGGTACAGACAACATGGAAGACTGAGTGAAAGAAGCTTGAGAAGTAAGGTTGAGTGAGCAAGAAAAATGTTTTTTATTTTAATCATTTCACCTCTAGCAAGGCAATAAAGCCACACAGACTGCAGTACTAAAAATAAGAACTAGACAAGATATCCCTAGACATGGGAAGTGGAACAAGAACAGTCTAACCCCATAGATTAAATAAAGGGTTCCGTTCAGAATTCCCTGTAGGTTACCTGGATTGATATACACCTGATGAAAGCCAGAGTGCACAATGGCCTAAACGTCTTCTGATATATAGAGATGTTTTTTAATCAATCACCTCAAGCAAAGGGATAATGCCCCTAAGATGCAAGGGGCTACTGGGAGTGAAAGAGAATGTAAAGATTTTAGAAAGAACCAAAAACCTGATCCTAAACAGGAAAGAAGGGATAAATCTCTACGCCTGTTCAAAAGTCTGGGGAGGAGTGTGAACCAGATGATAGGTGGATCTGTCTACTACTATTGAGGAAAAAATAAATAAATAAATAGTAAATAAAATTTCAGAGTTTAAGTGGAGACATTACACATATAGAGTTGAAGAAATTGGAACCCCAATCCTAAACAGGAAACAATGAATGAATATCTATTATTTTTCAAAAGACTCAGGAGGAGTGTGAACTGGATGATAGATGAACTAATGTACTATTGAGGTAAAGAATTTTTCTTTAACTATTTAAAAGTATTTACCCAAAAAAAGGCGAGTTTACAATTATTAATTCTATTGCTCTAATTAAAGATAAGTGTTTGTGCATATAAAATAAATAATCATATATATATATATATATATATATATATATATTATTATAAGAGATCATAATAAAAACATATTGAAATCACTACACAAAAGCTTTCATGTTTCAATACTTTGATTTTACTTCTTCAGGTGATGGTAAGCAACTGGTGATTAAAGGATTTTTAAGAAAATTTAAAAACAAAGTATTACCTCTTTTCCAAAAGTTAAACGGTGGGGAACATATTATATTTTCTTATAATGACCCCCCCCCATAACTTTTGGAAAAGAGGTAATTTTCTTAAATATCCTTTAATCACCAGTTGCTTACCATTGCCTGAAGAAGTACAATCAAAATATTGAAACATGAAAGCTTTTGTGTAGCAATTTCAACATGTTTTTATTATAATCTCTTATAATTACTCCATCTGTTCTTTCTCTCATTTGTGTGTGTGTGTATATATATATATATATATATATATATATATATATATATATAAATAAATGTTATTAAAGTGAACACTCTTTATTTTAAATAAGATCTCACATTTTTATTTATTAAACAGTATATATTAAATCTATATCTATAGGGTATTGGCCTGTGCATTTGAAAAGTAGATGAAATGTGTCCTCTGTTCAGGATCAAACCTGTGTCCCACTTTGCCAGGGTGGGGGCATTTGATCCAATGAGCTTCACCATGTTTTTCTTTAAGATTTCTCAAGTGTAGACTTAATAGAAACTGTTTAATAAATGTGGCATCTAAAATTGTGTTTCAAATATGGAAGATATCCACTATAATAACATTTGAAGTAATAATAAACAGAAATGTTGGATTATAAATAAATTCTTTAATTCTTTAGAAACTGCTTTATTTAGATTTTAAACACAAAACTGTATAAGATCTGAAGTTTTTCAAGAAGATAATACGCTTCCTTAAAAAGGGTAAAGACTATCATGTTTGCTGTGTTGACTTCTGGTGGCCAGGCAATAAAGCACACTGGATCAAACTGTCATTTCCTTTTAAAAAAAAAAGGGGAAAACAAGTTTGATTCCTGCCAGGGGAACACATTATTCTTTATTAAGGCTTCTCAATTGTCCCCTTTCTTTCTTTTTTTGTCTCTGTATTGCTTTCTTTTTGTGTATTGTCATATGCTTTTACTCTCTTTATATCTGCATCCCCCTCCTTTTAGTTTCTCTGCCTCTCTTTCTACCTGTCTGTTCATCCTCTTTTACCCTTTTTAGTGTCTTTGCTCCCCTTCTTTTAGTTTCTCTGCCTCTTGTTCTACCTGTCTGTTCATCCTCTTTTACCCTTTTTAGTGTCTTTGCTCCCCTTCTTTTAGTTTCTCTGCCTCTCTTTCTACCTGTCTGTTCATCCTCTTTTACCCTTTTTAGTGTCTTTGCTCCCCTTCTTTTAGTTTCTCTGCCTCTCTTTCTACCTGTCTGTTCATTCCCTTTTACCCTTTTTAGTGTATCTGCCACCATTATTTTTTAGTTTCTCTGCCTCCCCTTCTATGTCTTTTCATCTATTCTTACACTTTTTAATTCTGCCTTTCCTTCTCTTTGTGTCTCTGCCACCCCCTCTTTACTCCTGTTGTGTCTCTTCACCCGTTTTACGCATTTTCATGACTCTACACCATTTTTTCTTTTCTCTTTTTTTATTTCTCATTTTTGTATTTTTCGTCCTCTCTCCTTTTTATTCATCTTCCTATCTCTTTGCTATATCCCCTCAGGACTCCGTATTCAAAACACGGTTTCCATCTTTACATGACACTGAAGAAAACAGAAGCTTTTAACTCAGATTTCATTGATTTTCAAGACTTGCCTTTCTTCATTGCAACGTTTATTTCTCTGTCACTGTCTTTGATGATCATACCTCGTCACTTGGCGCAGACAAGAGCTGATTTCTCTATCTTTGCAGATGAAGAAGCAGCAGCATCAGTGTTTATGCCACAAATCAACATAATCGACAATTGTTATCCTTGCTGCTGCTGCTGCTATTACAAACAAATCTTGATTATCATTTCCTCATTTGGAGTCTTGGAGAGAGATATTAAAAGAGAATAATAGAAAGTGGAATAGATTAGAGAGAGAAGGAAAGATAAGGACATTGAAAGAATAAAAAAGAGTGGGTAGATGAGAGAGAGAAGGAAAGATAAGGACATTGAAAGAATAAAAAAGAGTGGGTAGATGAGAGAGAGAAGGAAAGATAAGGAGATTAAAAGAATAAAAGAGAGTGGGTAGATGAGAGAGAAGGAAAGATAAGGACATTAAAAGAGAGTGGGTAGATGAGAGAGAGAAGGAAAGATAAGGACATTAAAAGAGAGTGGGTAGATGAGAGAGAGAAGGAAAGATAAGGACATTAAAAGAGAGTGGGTAGATGAGAGAGAGAAGGAAAGATAAGGACATTAAAAGAGAGTGGGTAGATGAGAGAGAGAAGGAAAGATAAGGACATTAAAAGAGAGTGGGTAGATGAGTGAGAGAAGGAAAGATAAGGACATTAAAAGACAGTGGGTAGATGAGAGAGAGAAGGAAAGATAAGGACATTAAAAGAATAAAAGAGAGTGGGTAGATGAGAGAAGGAAAGATAAGGACATTAAAAGAGAGGGTAGATGAGAGAGAGAAGGAAAGATAAGGACATTAAAAGAGAGTGGGTAGATGAGAGAGAGAAGGAAAGATAAGGACATTAAAAGAGAGTGGGTAGATGAGAGAGAGAGAAGGAAAGATAAGGACATTAAAAGAGAGTGGGTAGATGAGAGAGAGAAGGAAAGATAAGGACATTAAAAGAAGGTGGGTAGATGGTGAGAGAAGGAAAGATAAGGACATTAAAAGACAGTGGGGGTAGATGAGAGAGAGAAGGAAAGATAAGGACATTGAAAGAATAAAAAAGAGTGGGTAGATGAGAGAGAGAAGGAAAGATAAGGACATTGAAAGAATAAAAAAGAGTGGGTAGATGAGAGAGAGAAGGAAAGATAAGGAGATTAAAAGAATAAAAGAGAGTGGGTAGATGAGAGAGAAGGAAAGATAAGGACATTAAAAGAGTGGGTAGATGAGAGAGAAGGAAAGATAAGGACATTAAAAGAGAGTGGGTAGATGAGAGAGAGAAGGAAAGATAAGGACATTAAAAGAGAGTGGGTAGATGAGAGAGAGAGGAAAGATAAGGACATTAAAAAGAGAGGGTAGATGAGAGAGAGAAGGAAAGATAAGGACATTAAAGAGAGTGGGTAGATGAGTGAGAGAAGGAAAGATAAGGACATTAAAAGACAGTGGGTAGATGAGAGAGAGAAGGAAAGATAAGGACATTAAAAGAATAAAAGAGAGTGGGTAGATGAGAGAGAGAGAAGGAAAGAGTGGAACATTGAAATAGAATGAACACGGAGGAGAGAGACTAGAGAGAAAGAGAAAAGAAAACATAAGATAATAGAAGAGAAGGAGAGAGTTGGAGTTAATCAACAAAGCACAGTGAATGAAGTAAAAAAGAAGGAAAGGCAATCTGAATAAGAATTATAGAGACTGAGAAAGTTTGAGATGAGAAAAATAGAAGGAAAGCAAAAGAGAGAGTAAGAAGTCAAAAACAAAGGTCATTGAATGAGAAAGAGCGTGGGAGAGGGAAAAGAGAGAATGAGAAAGGGAAAAGAGAGAATGAGAAAGGGAAAAGAGAGAATGAGAAAGGGAAAAGAGAGAATGAGAAAGAAGAAATAACAAAGAACACTGAAAAAGTGAAAGCGAATTTGGGAGACATATGACATTGAAAGAGCATCAGAGGAAAAAATAATAAAAAAAGTGTCTGTCTATATTTCTGAGATGAGGTATTATGTACATTATTTACATTGTTCGGACTATTGTCCTCATCTTTGACGCCATATTTATTACACGTTTGACGTTTATACGCTCGAGACTTCTTCAGGTGGTTGGAATGTTGAACTTAACCCTTTATTTTGCTCACTAGACTGTTCTAGTTCCACATGCCATGTTTATTGGGTGTCAGTTATCAGTTATCTCCTGCTAATTTCCCTCTGAAAGTTCTCCACTGCTTTAACCAGGTATTGAACTCACACTCTTTGGGCCTTGTCACTGGATCTAACCTCAAGGACACATGGCACAGTGGATAAAGGTGTTGATTAGATCTAGTGACAGGACCCAAAGAGTGTGAGTTCAATACCTGGTTAAGGCAGTGGAGAACTTTCAGAGAGAAAATTAACAAGAGATAACTGATAACTGACATCCATGAAACATGGCAAGTGGAACTAGAACAGTCTACCCCAGTGAGCGAAATAAAGGGTTCAGTTTGACATTCCAACCACCTGAAGAAGGCCAAAGCGTACAACGGCCAAAATGTTGTAATAAATATGGCGACAAAGATGAGGACAATAGTCCGAATAATGTAAATAAAAAAGTGGTAAGTCAGAAAGAAATAAGAATAGAGTGAGAGAAATAATGAGAGAGAATTAGAGAGAGAGAGAAGGAAAGACAACATATACTGAAAGAGAATAAAAGTGAGACATAGAACAAAAGACAGAGAAGGGAGAAAATAATAGGGAAAGAAAGAGGTAAATCAGATATAAATAAGAATAGAGAGAGAGAGAAGGAAAGAAAGGATATTGAAACACAGTGAGAGGTAAGAGAGAAATAAAATGAAAGTCTATAAAAAAGCAGAAATATGGGAGTGAAGAGAAAGTGTAAAAAGAAGTTAGGGAGAGGAGAGAGGGAAAGAAAGAAGCAAAGGATAAAAGAGAATAGGAAGAAATGAGAATCAAGAGGGAGAAGAGTAAGAGAAATAACAAGTGAAAATAAAAAAGGATAAGGAGTGAGAGAAGAGGAGGACAGGAAAGAAAGAAGAAAAGGAAAAAGAGAGAGTGAAGCAAAATAGAAAAAAGTGAATGAGTGAGCAAGAGAAATAAAGAATGAAAATTCAATTAGTCTGAAAAAGAACCAAAGATGTCAGAATTGAAAGATGAAGAAGAGCTACATCTTATCATTTTACAGTTAAAATGGCGAGATGTAGCTGTAAGTTCTATGCTAACAGTTTCTTCTCTTGCATTTTTTGCTTGTGGAATTTTCTTGCTTTCTAGTTAACATTGATTTAAATGCAATGCCAATCATTATCGTCTGTCTTCTTAAATCCTGTTCCTTTATTGTCCTCTCTCTTCAATAATGTTTTTGGGTGGCCCAACTTGGCTTTGCCAAAAATGCTTGTTAGGGTGTACTCTTATAGTCTATAAAAAGGCAAGCATATTCTCTTTTTAACTCTTGCTTCCAGATGTAGTCGAATGTACATAAAAACGCTGCCGCTTGGGCATGTTCATTTCTTTGGTCCTCTTTTGTCTGAACTACTGCACACAGACACACACACACACACATTCTTATAGCGATTTTCAATGTGTTTTTCCTTACATTTCAATTGTGTACACATGCAATTATTTTGTTAATATATGCATATAATTGCCATTTTCTTTAAAATTGATTGTTCTATGTTACTTTTTTTACCCGGACTCACATGAATCACACAACGTTATTTGTAAGATAAATGTTCCAGGAGTATATAAATACCTACTAAAAAGCATTAACTCACTCATTTCAAAAGTATTGAATCCCACAACAAAGTGATGACTCATTTTAACCTGAACACAATAAAACCAACAACAATGTTTTTCTCTTTCTCATATTCTTTCACACTCAGTAAGCCCTTGCATCTCAGTGGCTCTTTTGCCTTGCTTGGAGTGAAATGATTAAAAAAAAAAAAGAATAAGAAACTGAACTGAATCTGACTCAACCCACCATCCAATTGTAAACTTTAAAGAGAGAGTATGAGAACTATCATTTTTGATGACAAAGATATCACACATTTTTCTTCCAAAAATGCTGGAAAAATGATTCCTTGTGCTGTTCTAGATGGTACTTGACACCTTTTGCCATGTTTTATCTTTACAAAAGTCAGATCAGAACAAAAATGCAGTATCAACTTTGGTGATCAAAAATTTAAAAGCAATGTCAATCATTATCTGTTTTGATTACTCATCTATTGTTCTTGTTCCTTAATAATGTTTGTCTTTTTTCTTATTCTTTCACACTCAGTAACTCCTTGTGTCTTAGTGGTTTTATTGCCTTGATTAAAAAAATATATCTAGGCTTGAGTTGCCACATCTGTAATAGATGTGACAGTGACTTACCAGGAGCAAAACGAATTCGCTGCCTCGTGTGTCGAACCATTCTCTGAGAGTTGGTCACGCGTGCATACGCCTGCTGCCATTTTTATGTAGCAGGCTTATTTGCATAAGAGAACAACACTACCTGTTAAAAACCAGGCGAGTGGACTTGGGGGACCACTGCTCTTCTAGGCTTCGGTGAGACTAGACGTATTTCTGAAAGAAAGCGACATCAATTTCTGGACACCCGACAAGCTATTTCGGCCGATATGGACGGCCAGTTTGATTTAAAAATTATTCCCGAGTTTGACGGGACTGGATCTGTGGTTGAAAGGCTCTAGAAGTTGGAATTGGTGTGCTACCTATCGGGTGTGAAGCAGCTTGACCATGTCATCCCTCTTCACCTAACCAAGGGAGCATTCACGGTTTACCAGCAACTATCTATGGAAGAGAAATTGGACGTGGCTCGAATCAAGGGAGCATTGATGACAGCATTTGCCCCTGATAAATTCACGGTGTACGAACAATTCGAGGCATGTGTATTGCGTCCGGGTGAGACCGTAGATGTATATTTGGCAGATCTACGGAAGCTGTCTGTCCTTTTTTGAAGGAGTGCCAGACAGTGTGATGTCATGCGTGTTCGTGCGGGGGCTTCCTGGTCGATGTGAAAAGGCTCCTGCGGTCCTCGGCCAGGGCGGATGATATGTCTCTCGAGGAGCTATTGGCCCGAGCTCAGGCAATCATAAAGGACGAGACAGCAGAGAGGGAACCAGTCGTCGCTGTGGTGCAGTCTTCCCAGACACCTCGATCTTCCCCAGACATGGGCCCACTTGTCACATGCAATAAATGTAATGGGCCCAATCACTTCGCGAGGGACTGCATGAAGAGGCGAAGGGTAACTAATGCGCATTGCTATCAATGCAACTAGACCGGTCATCTGGCCAAAAATTGTCCAGGAAACGGAGGTGGGGACGAGACTTCAGCGCCGGTCCATTCCCCAAACATTACTTTCTAGCCTTGACAGAGTTGAAAAGCATTTACACAGCATTGTGGGTGATGAATTATTTTCAACCCTACAACCCATTTTCCCACAGGGAAGAAATGTCACAAGCCTCTCACCACTCTATCACTATTTCCATGGAAAATGTTCAGGCAAGCTATATTTTTTAGTCCCACCAGCTTAGACTTTTACAGCTAGGACCCAACATGGCACATATACAGGGTTGAATTAATCTCTGTTCCCATTGTATTCCATTTGTAAGAAAGAATTTCCACTCAGCTTTGTACATTATGGAACAGACTCCTGGGAGGATGCTTCCCTGAACATTACAATCTTAACCTCTTCAAGTGTATGATAAACCCTGATCTCTCCTACATATCTTCATATTCTTATATTGTGGGAAAAAAATTCCCGTGATAATGCTTCCCTGATCATTACAATCTTAAACTCTGCTGCTATAAAAAGAAAGCTACAACACATGTCAATTTGGCATTTAATCTCCTTTAAATTAGTCCCCTTCTGAAGCCACACATTTAATCCAGCATTATTTCCATTGATAAAAGTGTTTCTAGAACCTCCTTTGGAAATCTGTGCCAAGTGGCTTCACTCTGCATACTTTAGCTCCATTACCATATTAAGTCACAACTCTTTTTGATCAAAACTCATATATATATATATATATATATATATATATATATATATATATGTGTGTGTGTGTGCATTTGTAAGTTTTGCTTGCATGAGTTAGAGCAGCATTTCTAAACCTGTGTGCACTCTGAAAGGTAGCCAGGTATGCTTCAAGTTAACAGAAGATTAATTTATGAATTATTTTTATATTTAAAAACTCTTTATTTTTAAAAAGCTAGAGACACCAAGCACATGTAATGTCTTAAAAATAAATGCTTATTTCAAGAGACTTCTTTAGTATTTTCCTATTTTCAAATTTAATGACTAATTTTTCCACATTCAAATTTAAAGTGCACTCCAGAGTTTTGGTTATTCTAGAAGTGTAATCTCAAACAAAACAGGTTGAGAAACACTGAATTAGAGCATAAATTGTTCAATGTCTTCTGAGTGCTTTTGGCTTTCATAAGTTCTAATCAAAGAGAAGGTCTTTATGCATTAAGTTTGTCTCTTAATATATACATTGTGCTTCTCAAATGTCACTGAAAAAAATTTAAATTCTCTGAGGTCTTGTGTGCTTACTAGTCAATTTACAATGTCTTTTTTAACATTGTGAAATGTATTTAGTTTAAATGAATGCAGATTTTATTGATATTAGACTGTTTGAGTTTTTATGGTTAAGACTTCTAATATTTGTAGTCATTTTTATAATTTATTTCATAAAGTGCTTTGGTATTATAAGTTTTTGTCAGATTTCTTTTTATGTTGCTTGGGGATATGCAATTGAATTGTGCTATTATTGGGATATATAAGCTCTTCCAAGAAACCAGAGAAATGGTTCAAACTGGGGAAAAAATAAATAAATCTTGAAGACAAATAAGTTTTTTCTTTAAACAAACCTGCAGAGTTTACACTGGTTTCTAAAATAAACATATGTATGTATGTATGTATGTATGTATGTATGTATGTATAATGTGTGTGTGTGTCTTTTTTACAAATTCCTTTTTTTAAATACTGGGCTGGTGAGGTCATAGAATTGTAGTGCACTTTCCTGTTTATGATTAGTAAACAGAGATTTAATTTAATAACAAAATCACTTAATTGTGACAAATTAATACAAAATTTTAAAAGTTTATAAAGTATTCTAATTTAGATTTTTAAAAATAAAAACAGTTTTTGCCAAAATTCCGTATTCATTAAAAAAACAAAAATTTTCATATCACAATAGTGCCCATCATATATTTTATTCATAAGATCAATTAAAAGCTTTTCTAATTAAATAATGTCTTTGTTTTATTGCATTTTTTTATTTTATTTTACAATTCAGATCAGATTTTCTGTAACAGATTTTGTTTGACCAAAAAATTTGATGATTTAAATTCTCCTAGGACTTGCCCTTATAATTAATGTGAATATCAAACACTTTTCTTGGAAATGTCATAAAATTTAAATGAGTTGGGGGTAACATATGTAAAAAAAAAAAAAATATTTTTACAAAGATTTTCTAAAAATGAAAAGTTTGGGCATATATTAGTGGCAAAGAGTGACTTTGGCACTTGTTATTCTTGATATCAACCAGTTGTTTTTCGAAGTTCTCAACCTCACAAATACACCTCAAAATATCAAGCAAACTTTCCTAATATGGTTTAAAATAGCTCAGAAAACACAGTAATTTTATCAGACAAAAATTTATTTTTAAAGCAGTTCAATTCTTTGTTTCTATTTGGCAAATGTATTAATCATTTTTCTATAAAATGTATCAGCACCATACTCTACTTCCATGGTCTTTATTCATGGAAATGAAGACAAAATTATTTACTTAACTTTGAGAAAACCTCATATAATTATTTACTTGCTTTAATGAAGAAAACGATCTCTCACAGGACGGAGATGTGGCAGGGTTGGTCAGAATCAGATGTAGCAATTTTGTTACTTCTGCCAGAGTTTGGTTTTTTTCAAGTTCCTGTATTATATCTGTGACTTCTTTGATGCTTGATGCATGCTTTGAAAAATTTGCAGCAGAAACTTATTTCAGTTTGCATTTCAATCCATCCAAAGATGAAAACATTTCTGTCAGAAATTTTTCTTTTTTTGTAATCATGAAAAAGTTCAACAAATCTGAATACTCTCATTGTTTTTAATCTTTGCTCAACATAAACTTCATCGAAAATGTTATTAAACAAAGTTCTTCAAACAGCTTCTGGTTTTTGATGTCAACCATGCTTCTCTGGTGGTTCAGCAACACAATTTAGAACTTGGCATTAAAATTCCTCAAACTAGTCACTCTTGATATCAACCAATTGTTTTCTTGAAGTTCTCAACCTCGAAATATCAAGCATTCTTTTATGAAGAATCAAAAACAGAATCTCTGAGCCCCTCAATATCATTTCAAAAATCACTAATAAAAATTAAAACTGAGAATTTTTGAGAATTGCAATAAATCCTGTTGCTTGTGCTAATTCTGTATCACTCCAACACTCTGGATATTCTATGGTTGAAAATAGCCATTTTGTCAGACAAAATGGATACTTATCAAGATGAATAATTCAAACATGTCTCGGGTAATTTTTGAAATTGCTTTCCAACAATTTCATTGTGTAGTGCTATTCTAGCCATCAACATTGAGAAAAAATTTGAAATTTCTTTTAAAATTTGGAAGAAAATTCAACATTTGTGAATGCTTGAAGCTGATTGAGAGCATACCAAATTAAGTGAATGTGTATAACATTGTACAAATATGATGTTCACACCAACAATCCACTTTATTCTTGCTTATACTCCATTCAAAATCCTAGCTGTTATGATCTCTCCATCATAAGTTTGCACAATTAATTTTTGCTCACAGCAGAATTCATTAAAAACCAATCAAACTTTTTGCATCAGTGATGCAAAACTTCTATTCTTACTGACATCGACATTTCTCAAAAATCTGTTTTTGAGGCTTTTCCTTTTCATCAACAAATTACAAAACACGTGACAATTGAGATTTCATTTAAAGATCTGTAGTCTCATCAAAAGTAACTATGATTTTTTTGATCATTGTCTTAATTTCAATTTTATTAGCTATACAATTAATGATCTTGTTACAAATATCACTTGAAAATCCAGAAAATATGCAGTTGGCATTTTTCTTCATAAAATTTAAATGTGATCTTAAACAATCATTGTATTCCACTACTGCTTCAAATATAACCAGAAAATATGCAGTTGGCATTTTTCTTCATAAAATCTAAATGTGATCTTAAACAATCATTGTATTCCACTACTGCTTCAAATATAACCAGAAAATATGCAGTTGGCATTTTTCTTCATAAAATCTAAATGTGATCTTAAACAATCATTGTATTCCACTACTGCTTCAAATATAACCAGAAAATATGCAGTTGGCATTTTTCTTCATAAAATCTAAATGTGATCTTAAACAATCATTGTATTCCACTACTGCTTCAAATATAACCAGAATCTAATCGTTATTGTTTGGTTCTTCTGTTTCATCATGATTTCAAAATGGTAAATCTTGACATGCCAAAATTTCAATACAATGAATTAACCTTTTCAATATATCATGATTTTTGTAAATCAATCTATTATGTAACTGAATTGAAGTTGCTTTCAAGTCATCAATCATTGTATCAATTCATTTTCAGCCAAAGTTTTTGAGAGCAATTATGGAATTCACATGGTTTTGGGACTTTTTGTGTCTTGTTAAAGCTGTAATCAAATTGTTCAAATCACAGTAGCTAGTTGCTCATATGTTCTTGTGATAACAAAATAACAGACATAGGAAACAGAACAATTTATTTAGAATGGGACATCCCGTCATCCACTCATACTGTTCATAATACTTGGAATCAAAATAATGATACCATTTCTTGCTGCCAACTTTTGGTTTTGATTTTCACTTCAAGTTTTAGCTTCTTTCTTCCAAGAATGATAATATTCTTCTCTTCTTTGAAGCTTCTTGTTGCAAAAGGTCACAAAAGTATAGAGGAAACAGAGCAAATTGGCTTTTTTTTTGGCCATCCTGTGGGTGAATGAAAATATGGAAAATGTTACTGGCTTATAATTTTAGGTACCTTCAAAAAAAGGCAATACCTAAGATTTAAGATGCATTTTTAGAAATGTCAAATCTTTGTTGAAGTTACATTTCCAAACTAATAAATTAAATTTAATATTTCCAATAGGCAAAATACTTAATGCTATATTTCAAAATTAATTGTGCTTAAATACTTAATGCTATATTTCAAAATTAATTGATCAAAAGGATTTTTACTTTTTTTAATTTTTCAGAAAAATTGATAAAATCATCCATAGTGCCAAATCTGACAATGCAACATAATTCTCTTTATGAAAAAATCTTTAAAGAATAAAATATAATTTTTTGGAATGTTTGAGAAAAATTAGCTGTTTTAAAGTTGAATTAATCTAAATTGAAACAAATATTATTTACTTTTAGTTTACCATATTGCAGAAAAGCATAATTTTTTAACACCGTGGGTATTTTTATAAGATTGTGATGCATCTATCAATAACCTAATGTTTGGAAAATTTAAGTAAGGAGCAAATAATTGCAATAAATTTACATGAGGAATGCAACATAAATGCCTTTTTTATATAATTGTTAACTATACAGTAATTTTAAATATTTTAATCATTTTAACATTTTATTGAAATTTAGGTGCTTTGCCTTTGTAGGCTTACTTATTAAGTAACTTATTGGAGAAATGTTAAAAAATTACCAATAAATTTTAAATTTACTATAGTTACCACTTAATGTCATATATGGATGTCCATATTTACAAAAATCAATACATTTATACACACATAAACAAATTCATTTTAAAATACTGTGGGTTGATGAATTGTAGTAAGCTTTTCCATTTACAATTAGTAAATACAGATTTGATTTGATAATAAAATCACTTGACCAATACAAATTAATAGAATTTTAAGTTTTAAAAGTTTATAAAGTATTGTAATTAAATTTTTTAAAAATAAATACAATTTTTGTAAAAATTCATTCTTCACTGAAAAATTTTTTTTCTTAAAACAAAAATTCATTCTTCATTGAAAAAGATTTTTTTTCTTAAAACAATAGTGTTCATAATATAATTTATTTATAAAAGTGATTAAAAACTTTTCTAATTAAATAATGTCTTAGTTTTATTGCATATTTTATTTTACAATTCAGAATGGATTTTCTGTAACTGGGGGGTCCTGTTTGATAAAAAAAAATTAAGGATTTCAATTCTCTGATGATTTGTCCTTATAACTAATATAAACATTAAGGGCTACAAAAAAGAATTTCTTGAAATTTCATAAAAAATTTTTGCTCAAATTTTCTGTATTAATTTATGATCCCACATTGATTCCAGAAAAACAATATTTACCAAATTTCCAAGGTTCAAAAAGGATTAAAAATATAATTTTATATAAAATAAATCTTTCCTCTTAATAATAAGAAAGATTTTGATGATAAATGTTTTTTTTGGATATATATATATATATATATATATATATATACACACACACACACAAATTCACTAATGCCTATTGGATTGTGTAAAATTGTAGAATTGTGCTCAGCAGAAAATTTGAAATAGTAATCCATTAACAATAGATTTGCTATAGTGTGTTTGTAGGGAAGGAGTTGGGGAGTGGGGGATATATTTCATCACCCACAAGGTGTAAATGATTTTGAACTCTCTCAAGGATGAAAAATAAGAATTAGGCAGCCCCATCGCAGATTTATAGAAATAGTTCTTTTTTTCTTGTGATCTGATTTTTATAAAGATAAAATATGGCAGAAAGAGTCAGGTTTTTTTTGGAATGGTTCAAGAAACTATCTATAGAACCTGTTTTCATTACTGAATGCTATGACCGAATGCTATGACCTAAGTGAAAGTTTGGCTATAAGCATGTGTTCTCATAATCCTTCAAGTCACTGATTTTCAATGTTGTGTGCTGACAAATGCCATATTTACTCTGGTCTACACTGTAAATGTCATGCAGTTTGTCATAGTTGCTCTCGCACTGTCAATCATGGCAAGTATTAGTACTATGTGACTATCCAGAACCTGGTCTAGAGCTCTAGGAATGTTAATTTGACCAACATGATCTGTTAACACTATAAAAGCAACACCAGTGCATCATATCCAATATATGCAGCAATTCATCAAAATAAACATCCAGCTTCTCAAAGGCTGATCACTCTCAGTTTACTAGATCATACACGGTACCTGAAGACGTCAGCAAACGTTATCCAATTGTCTACGACCAGATCACAGAGTGCATTATATTCTAAAACCCAAGCATATATGGTGCACTGGCATGAATGTTGCTAGATCACATGTGGCAATTGAAGATTTTGAAACTGTTATCACATTTTATCCACTATCTCCAGTATGCTCATAATATAACCACTTCAAAATCAGCATTCTTCTTTTAGCATTCCAATTTTATTTGCCATTAGTGTATACTTTCATGCACTAACTTCTAACATTATGTATTTATTTGGTTTCATAGATTAGTGGCAAGATGAAGAAACATCTGATGCAATAAGAAATTAATAACTTTATTGAAAATCAATGTAAAAATGAAAGAACTATTTTTATCGTAGTTAAGTAAAAAAAAAAATAAAAAAAATTGCCTGAAAACCAAAGTAGCCATTGATTTAGCATTTTTTTTTTTATAATGCAGAGTGAAATATGCTTTATTTACAAATCCTATTCTGTCAATAACATTGGCATTAATACTTGACAACTGATAATCCATTTCTTCTTGATTTCCAGTGCATTTCAAGAGTAAAATCAGTAGAAAAAAAATTTACATAATATTGATAATGTTATCAATATTCTCAATAATGCTTACTTTCATTCCTGACAAGTTACAATACCTTTCTAACTGATTTTAAATGCATTTCTATAATAAAACCATTAGCAATGCATCTACATTCTGTTAGTAATACATGCATAAATTCCTGACCACTGACAATACCTTTCTTCCAGATTTTCTAGGTATTTCTATAATAAAACAATTAGCAATGTATTAATATCATATAATAATCATATTTTGAATTACATGAATTAATTCCTGATTACTGACAATCCCAATTGATTGTATAACTTGTATAAGCAAATAATTATTCAGGATTTTATTTAGTTGTTTTGGTAAAAATAGAAATTTATGAGATCATTTTTATTAGTAGATTATGATAGGCATTGAGTATTAGATCATTATTGCTATGGTTTAATATGTTTTATTAAATTAGTTGATAGTAAACCTACCAACTCAATAAGAGATCAAAATAATACAAAACAAAATACTAATAGTTTTAAACCTGAAGCAGGAATTGACAAAATTGGCTGTTTTATTATTTCAAACATTATTTTTATTGGAGGGCACCATTTCTTTAATAGGTTCTTTTTTTCATTCTTAATGAAAGACATTTTTTTTCATAGTTTATTAAAATCTAGAAATATAATGTATTTCACTGTATGAGCTGGTAAACAAAATAAATACTGTTTAAAATAAAACAGTGTCTACTCAAATACAGGTATCCACTAAAATAATATTTGGGGTAATAAAATATGTGTGATTAGAAAATAAATTAATTCTTTAGAAAAAATAAACTGTAAAAAAATGTCTCAAGAAATAGAGATGAAACATCAAGGAATTTAAATAAAAGATTTTATAGGAATACAAAATGGATCTTTTACTAAACAACATACTAAATACATTAGTAATTCATCATCTTGCTTGTGGAACTCTCCTAAATTTCTCTTCTTTTATTGCACTTTCTCTCCCTTAATAAAGTTTTTTTTTTTTTTTCTCAGATTCTTTCACACTCAGTATCTCCTTGCATCTTAGTGGCTTTATTGGGTGGAATGATTAAAAAAAGATTTGATATAGATACTTTTCTTGTCTTTTGATTTTTACTGTTGCTTGGCGAAGGATGTTATCAATTTGGCAGTCACCAATTAGTGATGTATCATCTTTGCAAGGCCAATTGAGCTCTTAGGAGTAAAAAAAATTCTGAATTCAAGCCAGTTGTAGATGAGGTTAGCAACTTTATGAATTTAAGTGTAGTACTATATTGGCAGCTAAGCTCTCCTCATTTTACGGTTAAAATTTCTAAATGTAACCATAAGTTCTATTCTAAAAGTTTCTTTTCTTGCATTTCTCATTTATGGAACTCTCTCCTGGATTCTTGCTTTCCAGTCAGCTTTGATTTTCAAAAATTTAAATGCAATGTCAGCCCTTATCATCTCTCCCCTTAATACTTGTTTTTTTTATTTGCTTCTCTCTTTAATAAGGTTTTCTTTTTCTCATATTCTTTTCACATTCAGTGAAATGATTAAAAAACTAATCATTAAAAAAATGCATTTTAAATTAAAAGAAAAAGTAATTTATTTAGGTGAAAAAAATTATATATATACAAATAAGGAAAAGAACAGCTGAAGTAAAAATCCAGAATTCAAAACATTTACTTTTTTATAAAGTGCTCAATACAAAGTAGAACAAAATATTATTATAATATTTTTTATTATAATAGATTATATTAAAAACACTTTACATTGCTACACAAAAGTTTTCATGTTTTCAATACCATGATTGTATTTCCTCAGGCCATGGTAGATAACTTGTGATAATAAATTTCCATAATAAATCATTTTTATCACACGTTATCTACCATTGCATGAGGAAGTACAATCATATTATTGAAACATGAAATCTTTTGTGTAGCAATGTAAAATGTTCTTATTATGATCTATTATAATAAAAATATAGTAATATATATATATATATATATATATATATATATATATATATACACACACACACACACACCATATTTTCTGGTGTATAATACAAAAGATTTTGAATGAAAATTAAGATGTATTTTTCCCCCACCAAACAAAAACATAAGAATGCTGGAAAAACTATTTTTGGTTTCTTGCAAGATGTCTACAACAACATTCCTGTCCACATTCACAATATAAAAAATTACTAATCAACAACACAACTATCCTACAACAAGAAAACAACAAATTTAGATTACAGATACTAGAAGCAATTAATGTCGGCACTGAAAAGAATCAACTATGAATACTGCAGTAATGTTCTGAAATGCCTGTAAAGGAACAGTTTTTTTACACTTTAATGCATGCATGCATGATCAAGACATTATAGAGAGAAAAAAATTCCATAATGGATAATTTTTTCATATTCCAATGAACACTCAGCACATTGTCAACCATTTTGCATTTAAAAGCATAATGAAAAAATTACAGTAATGGATAACAACTCACAGCTTTGTATAAATACTTATATTAATGAACAACATATGGTTTTGTACTACTTGCACCCCTGAAGATGATCTTGGAAAAAGATTGAAAGTATTGGGAAATGAAAATAAAAGAAATTTAGTTATAGCACATTTCTCTCATCCTTTAACATCAATATATGGAAGGTTATTCGTGAGTATGAATGGATTTTATTAAAAATTAGCAGACATAATGTCTGTAATTTATTCAATCAGACATGTCTAAAAGAGAATTTGCTGCTTAAATACACAAATATATATATATATATATATATATACTCAATATCATGTGATTTTTGAAGACCTAATTTTGATGCTAATTTGACTACAGTAAATGGATATATAGATTTGGTCAATGGCATAGCCAGGGCCAGCAGTACATATGCTAATTTTATATCTTGTGCATGATGTGGAGAAACATGTCACTTAACTGAGCGATGTTATTTAGTTTAGCAAGAAATCACCAATGAACTCTACACCATTTAAGAAACAGCAAAAAACCTAAAGAGGAAAACAAATAATACAACACCCATTAAGTGAAAAAAAAAATCACACATTCACCCAAAGATATCAAATTACATCAAACTATGCAGAAATACGAAAAGGCTGAGAAGTAGCAGCAGAGAAGCCAACAGCCCTGAAGAGTGAAGGCATTAGTACAATGGTCTCATGAAACTTTGAAGTCAGCATGACTGAAATAACACCACTCAATTAAGTGACAAGTTTCTCCACATGAATTCTATTAACGCTTTATCCTTACCTTTTGATATCAAGCACTTTGACAAAAACCTGCCTACCTAAAATGCCTTTCCACCAGTAAACTACAGAAAAAGAACCAGCAATTTTGGCACTTAAAATCTCTTACAACTTAATACTAATATATATCTAGCGAGGTAGGCTGGCATTTTAGCCAATTCTTATATATATATATATATATATATATATATGACTATTCACCTAAAACAGAGTGTTACTAAATGATGTTGTTGCATAAATGTAAGGTGGTAAGAGGAGAAGATCAGGAGGAAAGATAATGGTTAATCCTAGACTTGAAGAGGTTAACACTGTAGTAATCAAGTAAGCATCCTCTTGGAAGTCTGTTCCACAATAAGCAGCTCTTAGGAAAAAGCCATCTGAATTGAACTTCTTTGTTACTCATGGAATGGAGGAGATGTCTGTTCTGTAGATGTTTTAACCCCAATTTGCATTATATTTATTTTCTCTCTTTAATTCTTCCTACTAGGTTCTGTGGTACTGGATTAATTTTGGGTGGATTCACTGCATGGAACCTTCTGACCAATCAGGTAAGTAAAATGTATTAACAACATTATATGATTTGTAATGTCCACTTGATAGACAAATGATCCATGTATCAGGTAATCATATTCAACATCCTTCAAAATAATTATCCCCAAAATTACTTACAATATCTTTGGAAATAATCTGGAAAAAATTTAATGAGTGTTCAGTTGCTTCTCATTTGCATTTAGCATTAATAAATTGAGTCAAATTATTTCAGTATAGATAGAAAGAGAGAGTGTAGTGAAGAAAACGGTGAATTAGCTCATCAAACCAATCAACAGTGTGTTGCGTGTATTCTAGAACAGAAAATGTGGCAAAAAAGAAAGTTACTTACTGAGAAAAAAGGCACATATTCTGCATGATATGCTGAAGACAGAATGTCCAAATTAAAAACAAGTCAGTCGCAGGAATCACCATGAAAGTATTTTGGATATGCTAATATTGTATGGCCTCTCCCAGCTGTCGACAAATAAAAAAAAAAATGCTCCATCAATAAAAGCAGTTGGTGTTCTAAAATTGGGGAGAAATTTGTGTATTTGCCTACTGCGTTCGTCGGCAAGCGTGTTGTTTCTCTGACTGGTTATGTGCATTTGTGACATAGTACCTGCGAATCGAGATTTCAACATTTCTTTCTGCCCCTGATATTCAAGCTTGAATTTGTAATTTGTTTTCTTCGTTGTGGAAGTAATCTGTGACATAAATTTCTGAACTGGAATTTTACTTCAAGCATGATAAAATTGACTACAGAGATTTAGTTGTTTCATTAGAGATAGACAGTCACCTGTGTATAGAAAGAGAGTCAGTTGTTTCAGCACAGAAAGAGGGAGAGTCAATCATTTCAGGATAGAAAGGGAGAGAGAGTAAATCCATATTTTCTTAAATTTTAAGAATTTTCTTTAATTTCTTAAATATAACTTCTTGTACTAAATATTTCTTTTTATTTCAATTTATGCATGTAGCATTTTGATTTTCTTATAATAGAAATGCAGAAATAATATTTTTTTTTAAATAATAAAATAAAAAAATTATTGAAAAACTTAACTCTTTCTGCTCACAGCATGAGATGACCTGTGACATCCAACTAATATAAAAGTGGTCCTTTTCATAGTGCTTCGACAAGGTACTTAACAGAATAGGTCTGCATCAAAGTCATACCATCAGAATTACCATATTACCAGCGGTACCATATTTGATGACTTATATGATATTGTTCAAACCAGAAAAACAAGGCTTGTAGAAGAAGGTGAGCCAGAGTGGCTTGCACTCTGGTGCATAGGCAAATAAGGGTCTTACCTTAACATGCAACATGTGACATTGGCAAGTTTGCTCTATCAAGCTGACATTACTCTCCTGCCTACCACTTGTAGCAGTATGTGCAGTAATGTGGATTTTTGTAGTTTGGCGGTATCTTGAAGTTGTACAAGTGACGTCGTAGTAATAGAGACTCATCTAAACTACAATTCAGCAAAAGAATAGTTGCCAAGAACATCATCATGTGCAGAATCATCTTTCTTCTGCTATCATCCAAGATCTTGCAAAAAAGTGTGCCATTCCTTTTTTTTTTTTTTTTGTCTAATCACTTATACAACAGCCCATTTACCATTGAGGAAAACCAAACAACATTGACTGAAAAGACACTCCATAACAACAATATCTGACACATTTTTTTCACAAATATTAGAGGTAAAAAAATGCATAAAAAATTGATTTTAAACTGAACAAAATGAACAAAAATGCTCTCAAAAAAGACTTCCGGTCAGTTGTTAACTATAGCAAGAAATGACTTTAAATTTTAAAGCCTCCAAAACAAAAGTGATTTCATTTCAGCACCACAGAGTACCTTTTCTGCCTGTCATTACATCAGCATGACTGATGCTAAACTTCAAGACAGCAACACTTTGCACTTTCTTGAAGTGGATTGACTATATCAAATCAATTGTTAAGTCGACTTCTAGGGAAGTTGGTTCACTGTATCATGGCAGACAATTTTTCTTATCAGAATTCTTTTTACATGTTTATACATCTATCATTCATCTGTGCATTGAATACTTTTGCCATATCTGATCTGAGGCTTCTACTGTATATCTTCAGATTCTTGACAAAATCCAATGAAGAATCTCCAATATAATCAATCCTGACCTGGTATCATGATTTCAGTCATTTTCCTACCAACATGACATGGCTTCCCTTTATCTTTTCTACACATATTTTCATGGTAATTGTTCTTATGAGATGATTTCTTTAATGCATTGACGACATGAATTTAAGTGTGCTACTAGATTGGCAACTAGGTCTCACCATTTTACTCTTCAACTAGCTAGATGCAACCATCAGTTCTATTCTAATATTTTCTTTGGAATATTTTCCTGTGATTCTCCCTTCCAATTTCATGCCTCCCTGTCAACTACAATCTTCAAAAAATTTAAATGCAACATCAGTCGCCATCTTCTGTCTTCCAGAATTTTCTTTTTTCTTTAATCATGTCACTCCAAGCGAAGCGTAAATGCCACTAAGATGCAAAATGAGTGAAAGAGAATCAGAAGACTTTAGGATCCTATTCCTTTATTGTTCTTTTCCTGACACCTCCTCACTAAAGTTATCTTGTTCTTTTTCACTCTCTGCAACCCTCCTGCATGTAGCATGAGGGAAGGAGTGGCAAATAAGTAAACTCATTTGATGGGGACTGCAGTGCGAATGCTCTTTTGGTGGTCTCCTGCAGCCACCTTAACAATGTGAAACACAGGCTCTCTCTCAGCTTTACAGAATCCCTCCCTCTGTCTGCAGTGATACCTGGCCATTGTGGTCCTGCCAGAATTGCCTCTGAACACCTGTTGCTCACTGTAGAGCCAACCTTCAGAAAATGGGGATATGGCATCGATGGTGGTCTCAACTGCTAATGTGGGCAATCACAAACTATGGAGCATCTAGTTTGCTCTAATCTTGAAGATTCGTACACACTTAATGACCTTGAAAGATTCGTACACACTTAATGACCTTGAAAGATTCGTACACACTTAATGACCTTGAAAGATTCGTACACACTTAATGACCTTGAAAGATTAATGCTCCCAAGCAAGTCTCTGTGTACAACACTAGATGGCTGTAATGTAGCAACTCAATAAGAAGAAGAAACCCCTGCATCCTAGTGGAATTATCACTTGTTTGAGGTGAAATTATTAAAAAGAAATTTATGGAGCATCCGACATGTTTTTTATTTTCTTTGTCCAATATTTTCTCTTGAAATGAAGAATGGTGGGAGGGTGCGAGTTTGAAATGTCATGAAATACATAAATCCTTTTTAATTGTTCCTTCTTTAGCTAATCCACATTTAATATTAATCTGTATCAATATAAAATGATGCTCATTAAATGATCTGAAAGTTTGAAGAATGACCTTTTAATTGAGCAAGAAAGCTGCAAGCACAATTGGAAAGGAACATTGTTATCTATATTTTATCTCAGATTGGCTCTAGTCTAACATAAGTGTTGGGCTAAAAACTGTGAATAATGACTTTTCCAAATCAAACTGACAAAAGAAAAAGGAATCCTGTTGACCGCTGGTCAGTCTACCCTCACAAACAGTATGAGGGAGAAATCAGTTTGACACTCTTCACTTTCAAACAAGAATCTAATAGAAACTTGTTCATCTTAATATTGAAGTATGTAAATAAAAAATCAATTCAAACTCCATTGTCTGTTGCTCTTATTATATATTTATAGATTCTTGATAAAATCTCAAGAAGAATCTGCAATGTAATTGGTCCTGATCTGGCATCCCAGCTTTAGTCACTTCCCCAATATCATACTGTAGTTTCCCTATGCCTTTTCTATAAATACTTTCATGGTAATTGTTCGAATGATCTTTGCCCTATTGTACTTAGATTTTATAAATTTAAGCACAGTACTAGATTGGCAACATGGTCTCATCATTTTACAGTTGATATGGTTAGACATAATTGCAAGTTCTATGCTAACAGTTTCTTTTCTCACACTTCTCACCTGTGGAATTCTCTTTTGGCTTCTTGCTTCCCAGCCAACTTTGATCTTCAAAAGTTTAAATGCAATGCCAATCCCTATCTACCGTCTTCTTGAGTCCGCTTCTTTTATTATTGTCAGTCTTTAATAATGTTTTTCTTTTTCTTATTCTCTCATACACAGTAACCTATTGTGCCTTAGCAGCTTTATTGCCTTGTTTAGGGTGAAATGATTAAATAATAAAAAAAGAAAATGGGAATCATTTTGACTATTGGTCCCATGAACATTATAAGAGTCAGTTTGACACTCCTCTCTTTCTCTAGAATCTAGTGGCAACTGTCCCATCTTAATATGGAAATACATAAATAAAATGTTTTCATCATCTGCGATTTTTTGATGAGGCCACTTTTAGCTCATGCCATTTATTTTTTCATCAACCTGCAGTGGTCACCCAAGAAATTTCATCAAAAACTAACCAATGTTACAAGACAGAAAAGAAATTTGAAACAAATACTTTTATTATCATTCCAATCATATTTCAAACTATTGAAATCATTTCTATTTTAGTTACTTTTGTTGCATGTATAACACAAATGACATGTCAATCTTAAGTTATTATGCAAATCACATAAACTTTAATAACTCAAATTTACTTTGAAAACTTTCTGTCAAGTTTTAAACATTTACTTACATTATTTACACTGTTATCATCATCTTCATTGCTATATTCACATTTTTTTTTTCACATATTTTGGCCGTTGTATGCTCCAGCCTTCTTTAGGTGAAGCATACAAGTCATTGGAATTTCGAATCAAAATTGATCTGAATTTCACCTGAAGAAGGCCGGAGCATACAATGGCTGAAATATTGTAAATATGGCAATGAAGATGAGGATAACAGTTTGAATAATGTAAATAATCTAAGTAATCATGATGCCTCATCTCAGAAATATAGACAGATATTTAAACAATTAGTTTAGATGTCAAAACAAAGATTGAGTTAAATTTTGAGGTAGTTTCAACATGTTT